TGATTAGTACATCACGGCCAAGTTCGCTCGCAACATCAAGTCACTCATTGTCAGTCACGTTACATGACTCACGTGCCACGCGCGTTTACGCCCATAAACTCACGTGACTGCTCTTGTCAACCGTTCGTTGTCGTGTCGCTCGATTCACGTGACTCGTGCGTTCATGCAACGCAATCTGTACTTGTACAGATTCACGTGAATGAATCAGCTGTGCGTACGCGCTACCATGCGAGTAATAGCTGCAACCTATTATTTCCTCTCGCGAGTCTGATTTTTAATTTTACGAGCGGTAATAAATCCGCGGAAAATTAATGTAGCAGTACGCGACAAAAACGGATATCCAAGGCCCATTTTATCTCATTTCTTTTTTAATTTTTTCCCGTAATGCGTTATTTTGATACGGACCTATAATTGAACAAGACTAATGTTTTGTGTAATTTGGCAATTCGAATATTGAAAGATTTAATATTTATTAATATAAATGTGTGTATAATTTTGTATAAAAATTATTCGAACAAAAATATATCAGGAATAGCGTTCTTCAAAAATTAAGATGTCATTTAAATAAAATCTAATTAAATAGGAATGACTTGAAAATTATTATTATAAAAATTATGTTATAATAAAACTTTCAACATTTGCATATATATATAAATAATATAATAATAACTAAAAATTAAAATAGTATAGTTTTAGATATATAAATAATAAACTTGTTATCTAATTGTAGAGTATTATAAATTGTATAGAATCATATAATTAAGCATTTGGAAAACAATTAAACATTTATACAATTATTATCTTGTCAATTGTTATTTTCTGGTTATACAAATGCGGTTCAATCTTTTGATTATATTACAGATTGCCTAGTTGAATAGCATAATAATGTTACGGAAAGAAAAGCAATCTCGTTGAAGTATAAACCGCTTTTATTTGCAGCAGAATGCACTTTCGTGCATCATAAAATGTATCTTGAACGTTTGGTCTTTCGTCTGAGACATTTCAGAATATTACATTAGCGGCAGTTAGAAGAGAATTCCAATGAAATGATGAAATATAAATGTAACAAATGTCGCAAAAGGTTTCTTAACTCTCTCGCTATTATAAAGAAATAATATTTATTTATAATTTATTTACAGTGACAAATTATTTGAAAATGTTAAATATAAAATATTAACGGAATATTTCAAAAGTATTTCTATTTCAACTATTTTTGATCTGCATTCATAGAAATCAAATGCATTGTAAAAAAGAAGATAAAAATTATTAAATAAACACTCAGTATCTGTTTTCAGTCTCTTGCTAAGAGATTTTGCTGTTAACAATAAACAGATGGAGAGACGACAAAGTGAGAGAATGGATTCGCGTGCAACGGTGCGATTGCGGACTATCAACTTACGGAATCGGATGAGGAGACGAATCGATGAGAAGAAACTTGGGAAATAAAAGGGATAACGGTCGAAGAAAACGCAAATGTCAGAAAATGAAAGAGCGTTCGATCGAGAAATGAAAAATTGAAGGTGCGCCGACGGGCAAGGAAATGGGAGTGAGAATTCGAAGACGATTGAAGAACAAAACTGAAATGCAGAACACAGAATATTGCAAAGGAAAATGTTAAAAACTAGACGAGAGAAACAAAGAACAAGTAAATGAAGAATAGAAATGAAAACTTACGGAAATACAGTGTTTAACATTACACGCAGCTGTTTGACTTTTAATCTTTGAACACAATTTTTGTATTATATTAAGTAAAATTGAGATAGCCATTGATAGTACAAAATGCGAACATGCAATAAAAGATAAGTAACGAGATGAGTAAAAATATAATGAAAAAAACTAACAAGCAAAATTCATGGATAAAAGCAAAGCGGAATGTAACAGCGAAAGAATGGAAATCCACTCGCTTGACTGTGGATCTTAACAAGATAAAGAGATAAAACGCAGAATAATAAAGCGAATAGCCCTCTGGACAAAGCCGTCTATTTCAAACCTGTGTGGAAATTAATCACATCAAATTAAATCGTAGAAATTATTAGAAATTTCTTTCTAATAATAAAACGATGCTTTAAAATAAAAAGATAGCAAGGGAAAAATGCATCGTACAAAATAAGTGAAGGAATTATATAATAGAAACGAAGCTGGAGGCAACGAGAAAGAAAGAGAGAGAAAATAAAAGGTAAAATAGGGAATAAGTAAGAGGAAGATACGAGGCAATAGAAAGAAGAAGAGGATGCGAAACGGTTTTTATCTCATAAGAATATGCAAAAGATGCCTTTTACCGTACATCTTAATATGATCACCAAGCATATAGCCATATCAAGAGTCGTATGAGGAAAATTGGTTAGAGATAATTGAATGGTTTTACGGAGCTGCACTATAATGTGGCTATCCAGAGATAGGGATCGTTTCCACCGGAAATTTCTACGGTTACTGTAACATGCACTCCGTACTAACGGCAGGAATTTATTCGTAACGTGACGCTTAATTATAACGAGTAATGCGAACTTAACAGACATGACGACATTGATGATAATATATATTTTAATATACTATCTTAGAAAATGAAATAGATAATGTCATGCTGTATCTTAGAAATGAAATAATTCATCGTCTTAAAATATTAATATTTATAAATATGTTTTAAAATTATTAATTTTACATTATTAAATAATTGATTTACATGTGCTGATTTTTCTCAATAATGTTATTTTTTTCTTTTTAACCTGAGGAATATAATTAAACATAATTCAGTGCAATTAAATGTAAGTAGCTCAAAATTATCTCTACCTATGAGAAATATCTTTTGGATTTTAAATATTGTCTTACATCTTTCGCAACCAAATAAGAGGATTAACATTTGATATAAGTTAAGTTAATTAAATATTTTTATTTGCACTCTATATTATAGAGTGCAATTATATAAGTTATCTCTATATTATAGAGTGCAATTAAAAATATTTAATTAACTTAACTTATATCAAACTCTGAAACTCAAAAGGAAATAAGAAATTACAGTTAACAACATCAATCCGAATAAAATAATCCGAATAAATTAAAATTATTCCAAATTAATTATAATACGTTTGAAATCTTCCATTCGAGGATATGAGATGTATCAATCTACTCATCACTGAATCCACATTAATGTAAACGTTATACATTTAATTCACAGATATTTTTTTATCTAAACTTTAAATACATAGGATAAAATTTTATATATTTATATATTTGTAAAGGAGTAAAATCTTACATTCATCAGAAGTTTCTTATATTGATCGCAATCGAAAATAACGTCTCACACATATATATCTGTCAGTGCCATATATTTAAATCACTCGAAATCAACTATCATCCGATTAAAAACTTTAAATAATGAAGAAGAAGGAGAAAGAGAGAGAAAAAGAGGGAGGGAGAGAGAGCGAGAGAGAGAGAGAGAGAGAGAGCTATCGATAGCAACACAGCCGGTGAGGAGGGGTTTAATTAACACAGAGATCAGGTCGGGTAGTCGAATTGGAAATTACTGGCGCGGAGTCGCGGGTAAGGTTAATCCCCGGAAAGCCCCGGCTCTCTCCGGGAGATGGTATGAGATAGAGAAAGAGAGGGAGAGATAAAACGACGAGGCAACTCTCTACGATTTGGGACACCCCGAGTTTATAGGTGCAGCTTCGAATAGCGAGGCGATCGCTATCCCTAATTCGTAACACTAAGCACCAAAGGCTGCAGCTTTAAATATGTAGCAGGTCCACCGCATGCATCTGCATGCTTTTCCGGAAATACGGATGCACCGCGTACTTACTGATACTTCCGTTTACCACGGGTTGAAGATTTGTGGCTCCGATAGCCGACGATGCGGTAACATCAAGTTGCGATTGATGGACTAATATTTTATTTTGTTTCTATTTTCTTGTGAATATAATAAATGTTTAAATTAGGTGTATTTTTTTTTACCAATAATTATGTTTTATTATATTTATGTTTTATTATATTTATGTTTTATTATATTAATGTGGTACAAAATTTTATCGGACTATCTTTTTTTAATTTCTACGAAGAATTTCTTTATGAAATAAATAGTTTTATAAAAAATTTAATTCACTAGTGTTTTGTACAAAATAATTTAGCGCAATAATCGTTTTTCGAAGTAATTAAATCTTACTATCGACAATTACTCACACTTTTAGCTAGATGGAGCACAAAGCTTTACCATAGTTTGAAATGCAAAGCTTTCAATGGTGAGATCCACGTAACACACTCTGTGTGCACGCGCGTCGCACGCGTATCACACGTTTGAAAATATTGGATGTGCGGTAAAAGTGCAGCTCGACCTAAATACCAAGAAGAACCGAAATTTCCGGATTAAATTTTTCGCCAGCGGATTGAGGTTTCGCGCTCGCGAACGGACTCTGCACGTTCGCAATTATTAAAGAACGGCGTACTTAGTTTTTGCCGCTGCGTGCATTACTAGATTTTAGGTCGCATGAAAGAATAATTCGTTCTCTGAAAATGGGAACTTTCTCTTATTATTGTTCTCGTTTGAGATTCATATTATAAGATATTACAGAAAGTTATTTTATAATATACAAGAAAAAATCTACAATATAATATTTTATTATATTTTTATATTTTATTATATTTTTATATATTTTATTATATTTTTATAAATCTATAATATTTATATTTTATATATATATATATATATATATATATACATATACATATATACATATTTTATTATATATCTATAATATTATATTTTTCTGCATATATAACATTATAAAATTTATTAAAATATAATAAAATCCTACATAGAACGTGAAAGGCGAGGTAATAGAGCGAATAAAATTATTACATTGTACATGTGTGCTGCGAATGAGTATCATTATCAATGGAGAGATTAGTTCTGGTCAGATCAAACTTGTGTTAAATGAATACTTATTTATAATGACAATTTCGTATACTATAGAATAAGCTCGACTATAGAATAATTTATATTTTTGCAGATCAGCATGAGCAGAAAAGAGTTCTAGCGACAAGCGAGACGCGAAACTCAGAACGCATGCCTAAATCAGCGGGAAGCGGATAACTTGCTAGTAAGCGGCTAACGGGTCACTTCTAGGGGATAATAGGTAAGTTCAGCACGTAAGCGCCTCGATCTGCACTGTAGAGGATTTAAACATCATTCGAAACGTTCAGAGTGTATGCCCATCGTTGTAATGAGAATCTTCCGCGCCAGTTGCGACAGGTTAATAATCTCTCCCTCTACTAATTAGTTATCGAACGGCAAATCGTCGTGCTGTCAATGAGAGGCTTCGTCGATCCGAGAAAAACGAGACTCTCAAGCTCTCTCTCAAGCTTGTGCGCTGCAGAATGTAATTGAGTTTAATAAGCAAGGGAAGAGAGAGGGACAGAGAGAACGTGCGCACACCGAGATATACACTCGCAATTTGCGAGTTCGCATAATCGATGTATCGCCGCTGGTCATATTGATGGGATCTAGCTGTAGCGTATGCGTTATCGCGAAGCACGCTTGCTTGCTTGCTCGTTACAGGCGTGTTAATGGTATATTCATGCACATTACGAAATTACATTATAACGTAGACTAGAATACACGCGATATCGCTAAGATTTATCTCCTAATTTTGTGCACGAGAAAAATCGCCATCAGATATGCAAATAATAAATAGATTCGCGCGTGCATCGGCACAAATGAGTAAGGGAACATTTTTGAAATTACCTTCGTTTCATCCATCTCGATTCTTGGTGGGTTAGTCCAGGTTTAACGGCGAACATTGTGCCTAAACGCTTTACAAGCGCCTCACCACAATTCGATACACACGCCAGGATAAATTTCACCTGTGATAGCTGGCTCGCGGGTACATTCACAATGAAGCATACACACACACATATACATACACGTATACTTTGGTTAAATGCGTGTACTTACACATTTTCCACATGAGGAGGGATGAAAGCGATGCTAGCGGAATCGGCGATAAAGAGCGTCGAAGGGTTGGAAAAGGGAGCGAGGGCCAACTTCGCAGACAGTTTAAACCCCACGCCGGTCGGAAATCCGCCCACTCCACTTGGCGCGCGAATCCGAGTGGTATACTACTTGACCGTTCGAGTGGGGTCTGAATAGTGAATATCTTCGATATTCGCACAGAAAGTTCGGTCGTGTGCTTCAACGAGCCCACGTGTTATCCGTTACGATGGCGGACGAACGCTCTTATTAGCGATAGGTATGTATTATGAACTCTATGAATTTCTCTCTCTCTCTCTCTCTCTCTCTCTCTCTCTCTCTCTCTCTCTCTCTCTCTCTCTCTGCCTGAAACAAGGCTAAAGGATATTACATCATGGATATTCGATACATAGTATGTAGACTCGGAAATTTTTCGCATTGTTAGAAATAAAAAACTCTATCTCAGTTTATCTAAATAATGATTTTTAAATGATTATCATGTGTTAAAAAGATGCTTTTAAATGTGTTTTCTGTATATGATATTTTTCTGTATATAATTTGTTTTTTTTTTAGAATTGTGAAATACTTTTACATCTTAAAATTAGAAGAAGATACTTTATGCACACATACACACATATATATAAATCGAATAATTATATATACACGTTATTTTGCCGATAGAAATAATATTATATATGTATAATTTTTGATAATATTTTACTATTTTTATTAATATATTCTTCTTAAGGAGAGAAATGATAAAGATATAAATTTATAAAAAAAAATCATTAAATGTTTTACTTTATTCTTATAAAAGTACAAAGCTAGCTAAATTGGCCGGACGTGTACTCGCAGTTATAGCTGGTAGAGTGGATAATGTGAAGACTGAAGTACGCCCCCGCACATATTTAATATGCGCACAAAATTAATGGTTACCTCGGCCGAGCGAAATTTCGCTCAAGTACCAACGAGTTCAAGCTCAATAATGCTATGAGAGTATGCCGGTCAAATAGAAATTTTCGATTTAGTGAATTAATGCTCTTGGATCTCTCTCTCCGCGTTACCGCAGAAAATACAATTTATCAATTACTACCGAAATATAACGATCTCTTCTGAACTATAATCTATAAGTTTCTTCATTAAAGTTAAAGTTGGATTTTCCTTAATGAAAATTTGAGAGAGAGAAAGAGAGAGAAGAAGACAAGCCAATATTCTTTATAATTATATAATCTTGATACGAAACGTTTAAGTATAACGCTTTGCGAAAATGCAAATATTCTTTTTATTCTCATTAAAATTATTTATTTAATTATATTTGTTTGTCGTCTGTAATCAGGATGAAATATTTTTACCAATTTCAAGATGTCATGTGCAAAAGTCAAAAGATATCACATACATAAGATCGCCATTTCGAAATATGCAAAAATTATGATGCTTATGGAGCGGAAGGACGTTGATCGACGAACTGTCTGGAAATTGAGTTTGGCCGACACGTTTTCGAGCTGAAATATTATTGCGGCGATCGGACCGAATTGCTTTTATTGTCTGCATTAACTGCAGCGGATTTTCAGTCGACGAAAGGGGAGATAGAATGAAATAATTACCGATATCACGCATATTTACAGCGCGCGCAAGGGCCGATGCGTTTTAACCGAAATACGATTTTGCGCCGCGAATTTTCATCAATTTCGCGCGTATTCGAGCAGCTCGACGATGTGTAATAGCGATGTGTGATTGAATATCTGCCGATTTATTATACAGTGAAATATATTACGCTTTTTATGAGTTTGCAAAAATAATCGTAGGATTAAATAATCAAAGTCTTTAGCCTTTTATAAAACAAGATATATATATGTTAAAATAAACATTCACTCTCTTAAAATTTTAAAAATATTTCAAATATTGTAAAATATAAAATTGTGTGTAAAATTGTGGAATTAATAGAAGTAAATGAATATATCTTGTTCGAGTACAAATTTTAGATACCACATTATACATAAACGTACGTTTCCATTATAGTGCAATGCATATAATATAAAACATATTAATATCAATAATGATTTATAATCGATAATGAACGTGCAATAAAATACCGCTAGATGACATCAAATTTCTCGCGATAGTGATCGCTATTGGCTTTTTAATATTAGTCATACATTTCAGCTGTACGTCATAATCATGGGATTATTGTCCAAATTAAATTCCAACGACAGTATTAATAACATTCTCACTTTTTGACAATCGCGTAGTTATTACCGGAATGAAATTTTGGTGATAATGTTATATCAGTAATATTCTCGCGCACTTTTCCGTCATGTATAACCACAGATTATTATTTCGTCAAAATTAAATATCGTCGAGTCGTTTGCCGCGATACATCCAATCGTCATATTGGCAGTATTTTATATTTTAATAATGTTATAGGTTTGCTTGATTGCACGAGGGATTATACATATCGATATACATTCATTTTTCATTTTTCTCATTTGAGGGCTTATCGATCCATTGGTTAAATAAAAAAACGTAAAGAGCGTATAATGTAAAGAAACATAGTTTCGATATCCGTCTATTCTAACATTGTCCTTTTATTGAAATTTTATCGGACAATTCGGAAATGTCCAGTTTAAAACACATACAGTTTCCATTTAAAATTTGTTTATGCTTTGATTTTTTTATTACAAATATAATAGAATTCGTTTACATACAATGCTGAATTTTTTAAAATCGCAAATTATGTTTTCAAAATAAAACGAAAAGTAATTTTTATTTTGATATACAAGTTATGATAATAATATGTGCGTATGTGTTGCAGACTTTTTATAAAATTAACCTTTTTATATATACAAAAGAAATAGCTTTTTTATAAAACATCAAATTTTTATGGACTGATATTTTAGAAAAAATTCTAATTTTTTTTGTAAAAAAGCTGAATTTACAAAGTGTTTGCGATATACATATATACATATATATGTATACATATAATATATCAATTGAATACTATTGAGTGAGCTTCAATAAGTTTACTCCATATCCAAGGAGAAACTCCGCCATCCTAATTGAAATGCGCGTTAACTAACAACACATGGTCGTTCCTATCATATGATCCTTTTCGAATACGTCAACGATAACAGCAAATACAAAACCTAACAACTATCGATAACACCAACTGCCACTCTAGCATTGTATTCGGACATCGCAACCTTTTGACTTCGATGGACCTATGTCTCGAGCATGGGCCAAGATAACCCATTCATTTGAATACGTCTGAATATGTTTCACAGACTTCTGTGCGAGGCCAGGCAGCTGATAACGTCATAACGAACAAAGCAACTTTTGCGTTTATAAAAATACAAACTTTTTCAAAAATATGAAATTTATTATATGTTCCTTTTTTCTAAAGAATCGATATAAAAAGGAAGAAAAAATCGAGAGAATCTCTTTCCTCTCTAATTTTAAATATAGATGAAAAAAGTAATTATAATGGATTTAAATTTATAGAAGATTAACTGTGTAAATATAATAATTAATTTTTTGACATTGATTCAAGATTTTTATTTTTTGAATTTTATATTGAATCTACTGTAAAGCAACTAGATCGCGGCTCAGTTTCGAATTTTCATCTGATTAATACTATTATGATACGTTACATCAATGCAACGATTACATCGCGACTATAATTTGGATATTTGGACCATCCGCGACTTTCAAAAGCGTTCGTGAGCGAATATTCTGCCAATAATTACATATTGAAACGCTTAATATCGAATTCGCGTTGGTAATAACTGAAAGCATACTGAAATTTATGTTTATGAGATTTTATTGTAACTATGCATTTGTTATGTAATTTATTTAGTTTTTAATTTCATTATAACAAACTTTTGATCTCGAAATAAATATTATTTATATTTATTTTAATATAATAATTATATAAAGAAATAGAGACGAGGGATTTAATTAAGTAAATATGTATTTAGCCCAAAAGTAATCCGCTAATTGTCTCGCATAAAATCAATCGTTTCGAAAATTAACAATCAATCGTCGAGATTCGTCAACGACGATTACAATCTCGCGCCGCTAGGTTACGAGAGGTCGGTCCATCCGGTCAAAGCCGATATCTATTATCGAGCGCGAAATCAGAGGTGGTGGTACTTTGACAGACGTGTCTCA